TAGTTGAGCTTCCAGCAGGGAAATAAGCCTAAAAATACAGCCAGAGCTACAAGGGAATGGTTTAGAACAAGGAATAATAACATGGCAGCTTGGCCTAGTCAAAGTCCAGACGTAAATATAATCAAGAATTTTGAGACAGACATACAAATTTGTGTCCGTGTACGCTCTCCATCCAGTCTCCAGTCGATATGTGCAAAGCTGGCAAAGACATAATCCAAAATATCTGCAGCTGTTATTGCAGTGGAATGTGTTTTTTCTTAGAGATTTGTAGACATACAGAAAACCTCATGCACACATAAAAAAAGAGAAAAAAAATGTTAGAATATGCATTCTTTTTCATGTACCTGTACCAAAGTTGGTAAACACAAAACTATGAGTGCATGAGAGGTAAGAAAAAAAAAAGAAGAAGAACTGCTTAGCTCAACGTTAGAGAAGTGAAAGTTATCTTGGGTTGAATTCTTTACAAATGTTCCACTGGGGTGAAGATAAATTGCTAAAAGGACTGCAAGTAAAGATAAAAAGCCTGCATAAAGATTAATATTTAATGCTTGGCTTTAGAGAGTTAGCCTTTTTACGCATTGTTTTAGAGCAGAAATAAATCAAAAGAAGAATCTGTTTCAGATTTTCTGGGACAATATTCCTGTAAATGTTTGTTTCATCCCTACTGAAACGACCGGCGAGCGCCCCTCACTTCCTTCCCTACTGAGAATCTCCTGGAGGAGTCTGTTCCCATGCCATTCAACAGGAACACCTGCAGCCTTAACAGTACAGCTCCCAAGACCTCCACTGTGATAGGACATGTAAGACCTTGTGCACCTTCATAACTTACTCCCCCTTGCTCAATGTATGGCACTCCACTTGGTTTTTCTCACACATGGCCACAAAAACTTTGACCTCCATCACAGGCAAAATAAAACTTTCTCACATCAACAATGTGGGAGGAAAAACACTGATAGAGGCCAGAGCGATGTGTTCTCCTCAACCAGCAACATCTTGGAAAAATAAGTCTGGGATTATACGTAATCTCTACAGCTACACAAGCGTGCCATCTTGGCGCGGCGCTGATGAGCGCTCGCAATTAAGCCGTCACTGTCACTAAAGGATGCAACCATACAGTAATGTGTTGTCGAAGTGTTAAGTCTTTTGAGCTTCGTGAGCCACAGGCAAACTGACACACACACAGGACTTAATGATGGTGACCAGGAAGCTGTCAGGCAGGGAAGGTCCAGTGATGCGCTGTTTATGTCCCCGGCCCTGCGAGCTGTCAGCAAGCTTTGGCGGTGGAGAGCATCTGTTATCGTAGGAAATCTGCATGTCGCAGGTGGGATAGCAACATTATTCTTTTTTTCTAAGGTGATAACCAGTGGTGTCTTTCATTTTGTCTTTATTCTGACAAAAGGAAAGACACCACTGGTTATCACCTTAGAAAGTTATAAAGAATCTTATTATTTAATCCAGAGTCAAGCAGATGAAGTTTAAGAACCCTATTAGGAGAAGGGGTAGGGGTTTTTCCTTCAGAAAAACCCCTACCCACTACCTACATTTAAGGTAGTGGTAGTGGTATTTTTGAGTACTTTCGTAGTTTCTCTCCTTTACAGAAGAAAATTATTTAATATGTCCAAGGCTCAAAGAAACAATAAAAACATTGCAAATGAATAAAACTTTTGTATAAAATGGTATTTATCCATCAGGATGATTCCAAGAAGGTGTTACATAGAAAATACAGCATAAAGTAGAGTGAGGATTAAGGTAAATTAAAGCTGGGGTCTCAAAATCCAGTCTAGTTCAGAAGGACAAGCCCCTGCTCCTATACACATCTGAATTAAGTGGCTAAATTATCTCATCAGACTCCAATTAATTATAAAAGAGAATTGCTAATGATCCAGATATTTGAGTCAGGTGTGTTTAAGCAGAGATACAGAACATCTAAAAGTTGCAAGACACTGGATTGTGACCCCTGGATTAAACACTAATCCTGCTAGGGTTCTGTACTATTGCTGGCCTATTGGTCATTTTTGTATCTCTATATATTAGTGTTCCTAGCAGTATGAATCCGCCTATCTTTGAACATCTGCCCTGGTAGGGAAGCAACAGGGGTGGTCAGTCAGATTCCTGGGTGGGCGGTCGGGGGGTGGTGGCATCCCTTCTGACCCTGTTCCCAGCACAACAAACTAAGACGTTGGGAGCTTATGAGTTTCTCCTGTCAAATCTGACAGGCTCTCATTTGCTTTCATTCAGCGTCTCATCACGGCTTCAAAGACGGGTGGCTCATCTCCCTCGGGGGCGGAGTGACAAGATCAACGCTCCCTCAAAAAATGACTGGTATCCAAAAATTTTTGACCCAAGGCGATCTCGCTCCTCATAATTGGCTTCTTCATTCTGTCTGTCTTGGGCAATCAACTGCAGAGTTATGACGCATTACTCTGCCTGGAAAACATCATTAAGTATATTGTGCAGAAGTGACTCAATAACATATCATTTTCTCTTAGCGAACAAAACAGCGTTATTGAAGGACGTACTCTTTGTAGTCTCCAGTGCGCGGAGGGTTTTCTTCTTCTAGCTCCTGTTGTATAACCAGGATTGGTGGGAGGAGGTGGGGGGGCTGATCCAGCACTAAATTGTGTTTATTTGCTGAAAGATGCCCAAAGGCCAAAAGTCTGGCACTGAGAAACAGCATTCTTTGATGATCCAGATGCATTCAAGGGTTAGGGTTAGTTCATGCACAACCTTATTTTAAGATAAACAATATACTCAAGGTTTCATGGTAATATTTGTATATCAGATCTGGTGGTGGGGGGGGGGGTCTCGGTCAGTCAGAAGGGTCGGATCCAGGTTCCACACCTGGTGTCTGGAATCCCAGTTTGTGCCTGTGGTGCTCAGGTGTGGAACAACACCGGTAAGCTCATCTCATCCTTTCCTCGGGGCTGAAGCATGAAGGACAGACAGAGAGAACCCTGCGACCCAAATGCAACTGCATATATCTCAGGGAAAACTTTGACAGAGGGGGTTTCTTCCTCCCTCTTTTTCGCTACTCCAAGCAGCCGGTTAAAGCTCCACACATCCAACCAGTGCCCCGGGGAAATGTTATGACAATCAAAAACGTTGAACAGCAGGAGCAAGAAGTGGCATGAACAGATTTCAGGGTTTCAGACATGAGAGGTAGGCTGAGAGGGACCTCTTTCGAGAAGTGTGTCGCCTGAAGATAAAACTCGTGTACGGTCAGGTCGCCGCGGAAAAACCGTCTGGGCCCCATTTCTGACTGCTGTGCTGACTGAGGAAAACAAATACGGCTACCGGTAGTAAACAGGAGCTCATGTGACAGCTCGTGAAGATAATTATGTCAAAAGATGCTTGAATTTACTTTACTTACTGCCAGTGCACTCACTTCCTCCCAGACACCACAGTGACGGAGGTCTGGGGTGAAGTGATTGAGATGTGGTTTTGTTTAGGTGCCAGGCAGTGCCCCAGGACAATATTTCTCCTACTCAATCACCAAGGAGATATTGTGAAAATTTTACTGCTTATTCCGGGAAATCTAATCATGGTTCTTTTCCCACAGTCAGTGGCCAAGAACTTCATATACACCATGTTTCTTTCCTCTGAATTCCTCCATGGAGATTATTTTAGAAAAAAGAAAAGGTGATATTAGCAACCTGTTTGTCTTTATTTACTTGCAGAAAAGTTGGATGAACAAGCAGGAATATTCTGACAACTGTGTGTGGGAAAAAAAAAAAAAAAATTGGATAGCCTAAGTAGACCCAGTAAAGGAGAGCTGACAAAAACTAGCCTCAGGACATGCTTTCTCAGTCTTTCCTGTCACATGTCTACATGTCAACAGATTATGCCTTCACTCTTGAAACTTGTGGGTCAAAAAGATTGCTGTCAGCTTTTACCTTTAAGAGAATATGCAGTATAATGGAAACTGTAGCCTAAAGCCTGATATTCAAAGTGGTGAAAAGATAGTAAAGAACTGAAAGACAGTAAAAGAGAAACTTGGTTTCACAGTTTACATCGCTCTTCCTCTAAGCTATTTCTTTAGTTATAGGATTTTTGAAAGACTTTTTAGTCATCAAGCTAATTTTTATCTCTGATTAACCTGAGTATATACAAAAAAATAATGATTTTGGTTATTAAGGGATATCAAATCAACTTGGCTATTAATGTCCATAAATCATTTGCAATAACCTGTAGCAAGTTTTTTAAATTCACTCCTAAAGTTTTAAAATGGTTTTGAAACATCGCCCCAACTATTAGATATATGGCTCCTTCTCATCTGTTGAATTTCGGTGCTGAATGATGGTAATTTTTCAATTTATCATCAGACGGGTTCTACTTATAGGATATTTTTATTCTACAGCTCTGGCAGTCATCAAGCCAGACTGAACTTGTAAAAAATTTGGTTCATCTTTAATGTATGATTTAACAATGAATGAAGTGTAATTACTTTTTCACATAGACAAAGGTTGCTTTAGTAGCTTTTAATTATATTTGGTTTTATTTCATTTTTGTTTTTTTGTTTTTTATTTAAATTTGGAAAAAGCCAAAAGAAACTCGTAAAACGGGCAAATACATTTTTTATGCGGCTATGCAACTGAAAATTTGAAGTAAGTATTTTTTATTTTTACTTGTGCATTGCTCAAAGACCACGGACTTCACTGAGCTTCCTCGTCATAATTTGTACAAAAAATAATAATAATTTAGATCATTATAAAGATACATTTTATCTAAGGTTATTAATGTGAAACTGTGACGAGAACTGAAAAGTAAATGAAATGCACAAAATATAGTGACGTACGAAAAGCATGTGGATGGATAGGATATAACTCCATTTCTAAACAATAGTGTGGAAAGCTTAACAGATTCCCATAATTTTGTCATAGATAATTACTAACAAGACGTGATGACGAAGATAAGTTTAAAAAAAATAAAAATGTAAAACGACGATTTTTTTTTCTAGTTCGAGTGAGACCTCTTCGTTTTTGTTTAGATCTCTGTCAGTTTCCGCTTTCTCATTTCCGTACACAAAAGCTCTGCTGATGACGTGTACACACTGCTTCGTCGTTAGCTGGCTAGCTTAGCCACCTGTCAGAGTACAAGGGATAAAATAAAAAGGATAGGAATACAACAAGGGACACAAGGCGTTTCAGCGAATCCATAAAAATGGAGACGCTTTACCACCAGACCAACAAGTGAGTGTAATGACAGCTTCTGTGAAAACTGTGCCGACTCTGTTAGCTGACTTAGCTTTGTATTGTAACTAACCTAGCAACCTAATTAACGGTCCAGTTTCAAAGGAAACTCATTGACAAAATACATATAATAACTTTGAAAATGTCTTTAGCGTGTGTTGGTACGGTAATGAAAAATACATCACTTACGCTGGTATTTTAATATTTCAGTTTCTGTTCAATTAAACGCTGTATTTGCATTGGATTAGGCAAATCCAGGAGGTGCAGTCTCAAATGGGAAACCTGGAAAGGACAGACCGCGAATCAGTTCACTGTGAGTATGATCACGACGACGGTTAAATTCAGTTTCGCCTATAAATTTTGTTCTGATTCAGATAACAGAGAAGTGTTGTTGCCGCCTCCTTATCTAAAAGTTCTCCGTACAAGTTCCTTGTGGTAGCGCCTCGTTAATGTTTTGGATACGCTGGTAGAGGTTAGTGCCCAGATGACGGGTTGTTTTCTGTGGATGGTGCCCGTCACATCAGCTCTGGGTCGAGACAGGAAGCAGTAGGGTGGGAGCCAGTCTATCCACCTCCTCAGTCCCTTCACACTTCACAAACTATGACATCAACTTACATTTTCTCCTAAAAGAGGATGTAAGAAAAATAAATAAAAGCAAAAGCACACAAAACAAAACAAAAACATTAACAACTACAAAAATTGACCTGATTTCAAGAATATATTTTTAAAAGTTTTTTTTAGTTGTTGTTGACATATATATATCACACAGCAATATTTAGTTTTTTCACAATGCAGAACCACCCACTTTACTCATTGGAAATAAAAATCGGCTTCTTGTTTTGTTTTTTTACCTGTCCCTGTTTCCCTCCTGGCTGGGTCAGAAAGCTATATCAGCTATTTTAAAAATTGCTACTGAATATAAGTTAAAACAATAAATAAAGAGTATAAATCCAATGATAATACCCATTACAATGTAAAAAGTGACTGAAATTTGTGTGTAGTGATCATTAATGTTTTCATCTATTTTCTTTCTTCTAATGTTTTTTTTTTCTCTCAATTTAAAGTGTTAGAGAATGAACTACAGGCTAGAATCGACCAGATCTTCACTCATCTGGAACGCCTCGAGATCCTGGCCAGTAAAGAACCACCAAACCGCCGCCAGAACGCCAAACTGTGAGTGTTGAGTGATTCAACTGCTGGTTGCCGTAAAAAGGCCCAAATCTGACAGCGTAAGCTGTATCTCATAAAGGCACAGGGTGGATGCAGAAGACAAAAACAGCTCTGTGCTGCCCTGTGGCGACGTGGCTCTATGAAAACATTTCCTCTGAAGCCCCGTCATCGTCAGCGTTCCAGCTGCGTCGGGCAGAGATTCGTCTCTGGCTTGGGTAAACAGGCCCTAGGGGACAGTGTTCGCCATGAGCTTTCCTCTGATCCCAGCAGGTCTCTAGGAAGAGCTAGGTGAAGGATAAGGATGGGCCTGGGAGAGACTCTTTACACATTTGAGCTCCAAAAGAATTCTCCTTTATCCAGAAACTATGAATTTCAGGATGATGTGATGGAATAAACAACATAATATTTCATGAATTTAATTTTAATACTTTTCCAAAGCCACTCACCATGAATGATAGTGTCTTATAATAGTTATTGAAATAGTTACAGATGGAGAAGATGGTTAAAAAAAAAAAGTAAAGTGTGATAGGAACTGATTTGAGTTCTTTGTATAATCTAGTGTGTTGGTTCTGAAAAAAAAAAAAAAAGGATTTTGCGTTGCTTTTCCATCAGACGAGTGGATCAGTTGAAGTACGATGTTCAGCACCTGCGGACCGCCCTCCAAAACTTCCAGCACAGACGCTACACCAGAGAAGCCCAGGACAGAGAGAGGGAGGAACTCCTGAGCCGCACCTTCACCACAAATGTAAGCTGCACGTGCCTGAATACAGCCTCACACTCAAACTTCAAATTGTAACATTTGAAGTTTAGTGAAGACTAGGAGTTCAGTTGGATTATCACTAACATTATTATTTTTTCTCCATTGAGGACATGTAGGGTTTTGCAAAGCCTTAAACCTTTTCGCATTTTGTCATAGTACAAACCACAAACCGTCATTTAAGTTTCATTTTTGCAATTGTGAAGCAGGAGATAAAATATACGTGAAGCGTCAGCTGCCATCAATCTACACTGCTTCACATGTACGCCAAAAAATATGTTGGTGTTGTCTGGTTGAAGCATAAAAATCAGTTCTGCACTTTTCAGATTTTTATTTCTAAAAAAAAAAAAAAAGCTTTCAAATCCATACTTAATCTTTTCATGTCACAGTTATGCGTTATTTTGTGCTACTCTGTCATATGAAATACCAATGAAGTATGAAAATTGCGGTTGTAAATACAGAACTATAAATACAGCAGGTGAAGGTATTTTAATAGAGTGATATGATTTCTCTAGTTAAATATAGCGTAGTTAAAAAAAAATATATATTTTAACAGGATGCAGACACCTCCATCCACATAGACGAGACCATACAGTTAAACACGAGCCTGCACAACGCACACCGAGGCATGGACGACCTCCTGGGCAGCGGCAGCAGCATCCTCAATGGCCTCAGAGATCAAAGGTCAACTCTCAAGGTGTGTGCTAATCAACAAAATCGATTCTCTGAGCTAGCTTAAATGTTTTAACATTTAACTCATCTAGTTATATCTAAGGAGGAAGCTAATTATATCCTTGGCCCAGTTTCTGCTGTCCATAGTAATTATGTCATTGTTACCAAGGGTATTCTGAGCGGGTGGGTGAGTCCTCGTTTCCAGGGAGGAGATGGGCTTCCTGGCTTTGGCTTCAGCCTCTTCTTATCAGGGTGTGGCTGTTGACCAGCACTCTCAGCCAGGCAGTCCAGACATGAGAAACTCCTGACAGTGGTGGAGTCAGGGAGGCGCTTGGCCCTCTCCCAAACTCTAGACGAATTAGTGCTGATAATGAACAATGCGCTGCGGCTTTACAGCTGTTGAAGTCATAACATGTGATAATTGTTGCTGTCATTAACTGGCTTTTTTTTTTTTTTTTTCTTGGCTCCACAGGGGACGCACAAGAAGATGCTGGATGTAGCCAACATGTTGGGCCTCTCTAACACAGTCATGAGACTAATAGAAAGACGAGCCACCCAGGATAAGTTCATCATGATTGGAGGCATGTTGTTGACCTGCGTCTTCATATTCCTCGTCATCAGATACCTGGGCTGACCACGCCTAGGTAGTCGATCAGATGTGGACATTTCAGGAAAACATCATCCCACAGGATATGAAATTTAAAGTGATTTTAATAAAAGGTGCCATTGTTTTCTTGTTTACTTTCAATAAACTCACCACTTTACTTTGGATACATGCTAAACGTTTAGGCTGAAGAAGTTCTTATCCAGACAGTATTTTATAGTGTGGAACTTTTCTGTTGATCAGTTGGACTCTTCTTCAAACTGCTCCTGTTCTTTTTCTTTCAGATTCCTAAAATGTCCATCAATGTATGATTGAAAACAAGTCTGAATGTGTAAAAACATTTATTTCATTCTGTGAATGTTTTATTACCCGTAAAGTAATCTGACATCCACAGATTCTTGATGTTCAGAGTTGAATAGTTTGATTTCCCTGCCCAGCACAACAGTACTATTAAAATGTGTTGAAAATGCTAAGCAGTTTCCTTAAACCATGAGTTACAATACCTGACAATAGGAAATCACCACTTAATGAGGATGTCTATTCATCTTAATTTTAGAAATATTAATCATGTATTATTGATGTACTATTTAAGCTTTGTAAAATGTCCATTTTTGTTAGATCAAGTACAGGAAAATTTCTCCCATCTCCGAAGTTAAATTTCATTTAACTTTATGTTAAATTTCATTCAATATAAAATGATTAAAATACCTAAACTTTAACTTTGTCCACTTTTATATTGGAGTTCAGGTAAGAGCATCTCTTACCTGTAGATATTCATTGCCCATCTTTCATGGCTGTCTGTAAGATAGCATGTCATCTTTATCTATTTGACTGAACCACCACTAATTATATGCTGTAACTTGTACTTGTTGAAAAGATTTCAGGTTTACCATTATTTATACTTAATTCTCCACTTGGAAACAATTTTAGGCGTCATAGGATTCAGTTTCATGTAATTTTTAACGGATTTTAATGTGACTAGGGCGCCATCTGCTGTTTGCTGCTGGTACCTGCAGAATGATTTGGTAATCTTGTCCAGATGGGACTGTGAAAAGAACTGTAATAATGCAATCAAAACTAAACCATGAAAGAGAGAGAAAAAACAAACAAACACATGGACTCAAAGTTTTATTTGTTGAAACAGTTGTTTTTAAAAATACAAGAGTCACAACTTTTTTTTTTTTTTTGACATAACTTGTCTGGGATCCCAGCCATCCTCAGCAGGAACATTTTAAGAACCAACCTTGATAAAACACATATCCATGTTGTAACTAACTTGTAATTTCGTCTGCTTTAGCAACAGCAGTGTCAACCTTTTCAGAATGTTAATAGGTTAATCTACAGCATTTTTATTTACAAAATTACAGAAAAAAGCCAAACAAAGCTCTTCTTATGAAGAGCATTTGGAAAATAATTTAAAAATAAAAATACAATTATTGCAGTATACTACAATCTTATTGTTACATGATGCCAAAGCACCACCCCAATGTACAGATTTCAGTGCAATTCATTCACACGTACCCTCCAATGGGAAAACAGGAGCTTTGCGTCAGAGTATTAGAGATGCTAAAACCTCTGCCACATTTATGCAAATTTAGAGGACTTCTTTTGTGTCATACCAGTTTAGACACCATAGTTATTTCATAGTCATCAGTGGCTGGCTTCTTCACATTACACACTGAAATATGTACAAACTACAGCAACACAAATTATTTTGAGACCAAGAATTCAATAAAGAGCAGGTAGTTATATGGGGAAAAGTGTCACATCATTAAGTCCATCACAAAAACAGAGGTGAAGCTGTTAGTTTCTGTAACAAAATCTATGTCCTGTCTCATGATCCTCTATAAAATCTCAACCATTATGGATCTCCTTGGATGCCAAACTTGGCAAAGATTATGACCGCATAAATGAGAAAAACAAAACAAAAAAAAACAAAACTCCAGTGGTTAGTGAGGTTGGGAATGCAAACCCAATTGGTTTATAAGACAATCTCAACAGAATGTCTCATTACATCTATGAACCTGCCTTTAAAACAGGACACATCACTGAAAAAGAAAATAAAAAATCCAAACAAACCAATATAAAAAAAAAACGCTAGTGTCACCGTTTTTAACCAACACAGGCTGCAATATGTAATGACCCCTTTAGTCCGAGTGTAAAACTGTGGTTTTACAACGTCCGACTTCCTATACACTGATGCAAAGACTTCATCCCCATCCCTAAATCAAGATCGTCACAGCCCTCTGTCAGCGTTCCGAGTGTTTACATCCTGTTTTGTATCCATCGTCACTCAAGAGCCGTGGTTAGGCGGGTGTTGGAGGTCCTGTCCTGAGAATATTGGGTGCAGAAGTGGGTGTAGCTGGAGAGCCGCCGCTGCAGCAGCCTGGGACGGCCGATGTGCGAATAGTGTTGGGTAGAGGGCTGTGTGCGGGACGTGGTGGAGTGCCAAGGGTGTGTGGTGAAGTGCAGAAGCAGGGATAATATGAATAGGCTGACCAGAGAGGAAGGCTGTTGGGTGGGCAGGAATTAGCCCCGCATGTCCCAGAGAGTGTCCCAAAGAATGACCAAGAGAGGGGCCCAATGGGGACAGGGAGATGGGAGTAAGGTGGTGCTGGGGAATGTGATGCACCTGTGCCAGCTGGGCATGTGCAGGGTGAGGATGGTGGGCATGCGCGGGGTGGATGCCCATCGCGGCAGCGGTGGCTGCGTGGTGCTGCAGGATGGCGTGTTGGACAGTGGTGATGGATGTGCCGGAGGCGACAGAGACGGTTGGCTGCTGAATGTGGATCTGCTGCAGGGCTGGTGGAGGGGGCGCCGGGGCTAAGTTAGCAGCTGCTGCGGCAGCAGCCGCGGCGGCAGCAGCCGAGGGGAAGGCTTTGACCTGCTTGGCCAGAAGCTGCTGCTGAATGTGTTGCTGCGCCGCCTGTTGCAGCTTGCTGTACTTCTCCATCTCCTCTGGCGTGAACGTGATTGGCTGACTCTCCAACGGCGCCAGGCCATCCTCCTCTGCCTCGATGCCATCCTCCTCCAGACTGGACGGGTGGTAAGCGGGGTAACCATGCACCGGCTGCTGTTGCTGCATTTCAGGCATGATGGACTCCATCATGGGGTTCTGGGAGGAGTCTTGACCTGGCTCTGCTTGATACTGGGGCATAATCATGGAAGGATCTTGTTCAAACAGTGGCTGTGGTTCTTGGTGTACTTGCTCCTCTGTAGCTGACTGCTGCTGTGTCTCTTCCTGTGTCGCTGTATTCTGCTGCACCTCCTCGACCTTCTGCACTGGTGGCGCTGGAGGTGGTGGTGGAGGGGGGAACTCCCTTATAGGTTCTACTAGGATAACCTCTCCATCTGCTTCAGAACCCTTCCCCGTTCCTGATTTCTCTCCCTCATCGGGTCTCGTTAGGGGAATCAACGGTTTCTTCCCTGCTTGCAGCTTACCAAAGAGGGGCAACATGGCTTTGCTTCCCAGGGCTGGCGGTAATTTAGGACCAAAGTAACCCTGTGGTGGATCCTTAATCTTAATCCCAGATTTCGTTCCGGAGGCAGAATCCTCTGAACTTTTCTTGGACTGAACCCTCTCAAGCAGTTGACGCGCTGTGAGCATGTTCTTGTGTTCCCCTGCATCACGAGACCCGACCGGCCTCAAAGTCTGGGAAGTGGATGTGTGGGTGCTCCGGTTGAGGCTTCGCGATGACGTGCGGGGAGACTGCGAGCGATAGATCCGAGAGCGGTTGAAGTCTCTGCGATGTGTGTCGCTGTCCGCCCGTCCCCTGGCGCTCCGTCGGTGAGGCGAGGCTTTGTTGGAACTGGAGGAGCGACTCGCTGAGCTTCGGCTCCGGCTATAACTGCGTCTCCAGGATCTTGTGCTGGTGCTGCGGCTCCAGCTGCTGGAGCTTCTGGAGCTGCTGTGGTGGTGCCGCCGGTGCCGCTTCCTCCTGCTGTAGCTGCGAGAACGAGAGCGGGAATCGTCCGAGGATGAAGAGGAGTACTGATGCCTTCTGGATCGCCTGCGACCTCGACTGCCCCGCCGCTCATACTCGGAGTCAGATGAACGTTTAGAGCGCCTCCGCCGGCGGCCTTCCGTGCTGTAGTCGCTGTAGCTGTCGGAGTAACTGCGGCTGCGATGACTGTAGGCGCTACTTCTCGCTGAGGAGCGCCCAGAACTGCTGGAGTAGGAGCGACTGCGGGAGGCTTGGCCACGATGGCGCCGCCGACTGCTGCCGCGTCGTTCTCCCCGCCTTGATGAGCGGCTGTGGGACCGTCTGGACTCTTCGCTGTGGTGGCGCCGCTGCTCTCGTGGGCTGGACCTGTGATGACGTGAATGCTGGGTGTTGGCGCCGCCTTCCTCCTCGCTCTCACTGCTGGGTGGCCTACCGTGAGCTGGACTTTTCTGAGCAGAGGTAGAACACGACGCGTTTTGCGAGCCGCTCGAGTCCGTTTTTTGTCTTTTAGAGTTACCGTGGTCTTCTGAGGAGTTGCTCTTGTCGTTATTTTTTCCACTTCCTCCGTGTTCTGCCCCAGATTTAGAAGGCACTTCCTTTGCAGCGCGTTTCCTTTTACCCGGCTCCGCTCCTGTTGTTCCTCCAGCTGTGGACTGAACAGAGGAACCAGCAGCTTTATCTTCTGACTTTGGCTTAACTTTTTCTTTGTCATCACCTGCCACCTCTTCTTGATCTTGAGCTTTGTTTTTGCTCTTTTTCCGTTTGTGTTTCTTCTTCTTTTTAGGCTTTTCTTGCGTTGCCTCCGTATTCTCTTCAGCATCCCCAGCTGCATCTTTTTCTTTTCCTTTGCGTTTTGAATGTTTTCCCGATTTCTTATGCTTCTTTTTCTTCTTTTTCTTTTTCGTGCCACTACTGGCAGTCGTGGGTTTTTGCTCATCAGGTCCTGGCTGGCTGGGATCTTCCTTCATCTCAGGTGTTTCTTTATCAGTGCATGCGTCAGGTTCAGCTTCAGCGGCTTCAGCTGTTGAAGCAGCTACAACTTGTCCTTTGTCATCAGCCTCTTCACCAGGCTTGAGGGACTTTGCTGATTTCCCACCGCGTAGTCCTTTATTTCTTGAAAGCTTAAAGTCAAAGTAGAGAGGATTACAGCTGTAGGATAGTGAAGGTTGAGCTTTTGTAAATTCAAGAAGCTCCGTAGGCCACTGCAAAGTGGTACTTTCATCTTTGCTCAGGACAGGGAAGAAGGGACCGGTTGGGACTTTTGGACCAGTGTTTGTATCGAGTGTGCTCTGTGTGTTCTCTGCTTTCTGAGTAGGAGAAGTGGGAGCAGTTGAAACTGTCTCTTGCTCACAAGACGAGATATTGACCTCCGTCTTCACTTTAGGCGATAAAGGAGGTGGTTCTGGTTCAGTTGCTGATACAGCCTCACCTTGTTCTTGTCCAGTTTTACACTCAGTTTCTTTGGACTCTGTGTGATCAGAGCTTTCTTCAGCCTTTTGAACTTCCTCCACTTCCTCTTCATCCTCATCATCTTTGCTCTGGCACTGCTCAGAAGCCTTCATGAACAACAAAAACTGGAAGTTGGGCTTTACACGACAATGAGCTGGCGGGACGTAATGGTAGTACTGTGGTTCTTGTCCAGAAAATCCTTCATCCTTTTTCATCATCATCTTAAGTTTGTTTAAAGTCGAGGCCAAGGAGCCACCATCGTCAGGCTGCTGGATATCTTCTGCCCCAGCTGCACCACCTTTCTCCCCTCCTTCATCTCCTTCAGGTGCTCTTCTGGGACTCTCTGTGCTGCACCCAGATGTCTCCTCTTGTCCTCCAGCCTTTTCCCCTTCCTGATTCTCCTCTTCCTCCACAGCCTCCTCACCAGGATCAGCAAACACAGCCGCTGCCGTCTCCAGCTTGACTGGGGCTTTCTTTGCAAAAGAGAATGATACGCTGACTTTAGATGAGCCGGTAGGAGTTGGGGATGAGGATGAGGATGTGTTCTTCCCCAGAGAAAAATTAAAAGTTGGGCTGGGCTTCGGGGAAGATTGGCCAGTTTTCTCTGATGGTGAACCCTCAAGGATGGAATCTGTAAAAATGGGGTTCTCAAATGGCACGCCGTCCCCATCTCCTTCTTTCTCCCCGTCAACAGCGACTGTGGTTGTTTTGAACATGGGGCCACTTCCAGGAGTACTAAAAAGCAAGATAAAAATCATTTGAAACACAGATTCAATGACTCAAGGACAGCAGGGGGCGCTGTGGTGATATGATCATACCGGTCCTGTTTGTCCTGTTTCCTCTGCTCAGCCAACTCATGCAGCCGACGCAGCATCTTCTCTTGCTTCTTTCCGTCTTTCCGAGAACGGGAGGACACGTTGCGAGCGAACTCTCTCTGCTTCAGCTCTTTTAACCTCTGCATCATATTAAAAAGGACATGCATTAGATTGTTTCAGTCATTCCTTTTCACATGTGTGGCAACTGAATGTGCTAAACTTTACTGGAGAATCTTCTCTGATCAGATTTTTTCTTTCTTTATGTCGTATTTTCACGTTTGTGTCATGATCAGATGGTAATAAAAGTAGAGCAAACTGTTACGTATATCCACTTTCCATCACATTTAAAGAGATGTATTGAGTAACACCTGAAAACTGCTACTTTATCTTACTGATGAACAGTTTTGCTTCAGAGTAAAAAAAAATAAAATTTACCTGTTTGTGGGCATGGTCGTACGAGTTAATGTGGTTGTCAAATTCCTGGTGTTTAGTGTACTGCTTGTCACAAAGCTCGCAGTAGAAATTTGCCCTCAGGTCTTCCAGAGCTTTTGCGATAGCTTTCTCTTTTTCCACCTGGTCCTGAATTTGGTAAGAAACACTTGTCACTTTCAAGAAGATCAGAAAACACACAAGCGATCATCTTTTTTAATGAATGTTAAATCATAAAAATAAACAAAGGACCTTACCTTGTATTTTTGCCGCAGCTCTTCTGTATCCTCTTTTTCCACTTCAAGCACTCTCCGCTTCTCTGTGGCATCCTCTGCATAGTCCAGCTAAAAGGACAAACACAGAGATTCCAGCATCTCCAGAAAACAGTCTGAGAGTCAACAGTAGTCTGCCATCTTATAAGTTTGACGAAGTCATGCAAGTGACTAATGGTATGGAGCTAATTTTCGTTGCTGCGTAGTCTCCAAAACATGCCGACTTCTCTATATTTCTAATGTAGGAAAGACATAATAAATTTTAAGTCTGTCTTTAATTGTGCAAATGCAGATGAAATAACGGCCAAACATAACCCAGGGTTGGAGGTGACATTTAAAAAATGCCGGTGATGCAGACAGAAGGATGCAACCATCTACATATTTACTGAAGGAGTCAAATAATGGGCCAAAATCACCATCAGTAGGTCAAAACTGAGCAAAACTAAAGATCGGAAATAGGCCACTAGAACGTTTTTTTTGTTTGTTTCCCCCCCCCCAACCCTGGTGTTTAAAGATAAATTTGATGACTTGTTTTTTTTTTTTTTTGTTTTTTTTATCTCCAAAAAGAATGTCTGAGGACAAATAACACGAGGCATGCAATACAGTAAGCAATTAGCACTGACAAATCTGGAAAAATAATTTACTTATTATTATTTAATAATAATTTCATTTATTTATGCAAGCTCCTCTTGCATCTGCCGGACTCTGTAAGACTGCTGAGCTTTAGTCAATGTTAGCTCATATGTGCATGGTGCTCATTGGGATTTTTTTTTTTTTTTTTTTTTTTTTTTGTCATATAAAAGGATTTGATGCTTCAGATTTAGGTGTCAGAATGAGATTTGCAATTGAGGACAGAACAAAATAACAAGTGACCTAGTTTATTCAGATGGCTCACAGCAAAGCAGCTGATGTTTCTCAGTTTTTTCAACACAGATTGGAATGAGAATCAACAGCAGCATGTTGGTTTGGGATCAGCTACAGCAGGACATGAGATTCTAATCAATCTTACACCATTAACCACTGATGTCATGGTTATTATTAATTTCCCTCAACAACTTATAAGTATAAACATGAACATTAAACAGGGTCAAATGGACAACTTCAGCATCTTACCTCCATCTCCATTCGGCCCATCCCCATGACATCATATTTAAGAACAATGGGTACAGGGTCGGTGCGTCCTGAGGCAAAAGAGACAGAGAAGACTAGTTGAGTTTTTGAGATGCAGACCAAACACCAACTCGAAGACAGCCTGCTTTTAGAGCATAGGGTGCTGGGGTTAGAGAATTTTTGCCTTGAAAGTGCAAAGAGACCAGAAAGCTACAGTGAACCAAACACCAGCCATTCTCACAGCTTACTACAGCCAACTCCTGAACAAACGTGACCTATATTGTTTCAATGTGGCTGTTGGTTTGTATAGTAGGCACCGTAGGTGGATTAGTCTTTGTAGCTTTGATAAATTTCTGTTGGATTAAATAAAGACACGGCCTTTATTTACACTGAAGTGGCACCTCCTCCCCCCTCCCTGTCTTAAAGTCTTGTTAAACCAGAAAGAAAAGTTTATAAGGAAGTGATGTACCCATATATGGCATTGGGCAAGATTGCAACAGAAGCCTTCATCCGTAAATCCTTCATGGGAGAGGAACTCTTAAGAATATTAAGCCAATTGCTTCATCTATCAACAGGACTGTCCGTAGCAAACACTTTTTACTGTCATGAGGTACAAAGCAGTTTGATTTTCCCAGGCCCGCTTTTTGTTCTCCATCGTCAAAATATTAATTTCCTATCCATTTAAGTTAAACTACTACGTAAGCTGTGAAAAGAGCTAGAACAGAAGGAAATTAACTTTAGAAAAATAAAACCAAAAGACAACCAAAACAGAATGAAACATTATAGATATGAAATATTTAAAAATCAAAACTACTTTAGAGATTGACACAAATTGCTTAATCCACTTATAATCAGCCAAACAAAGCAGAGAGAATGTAAAAAAAAATAAAAATAAAGACACAAGCACTGAACTACAGCAGAGTGACGTCACAGGCCAGGTGTCGCCATGTTGACAGTGCAAGGGAAGGGGATACTTACCTGGTAAAACATGAGGGGATGAGAAGGAGGAGGAAAGATAGATAGGTAGAAAGAAAGACAGGGGAATCTCAAAAGAAAAAGCAGAAAAAGAATTTGGACTAGTCTGCTGCTGCTCCTGATGCCAGCCAGATACAAAAACCAATCTTACTGATGGCGACTTTAATTCAGTTTGGTTTCAGTTTTTTTTTCCCCTTCCAATATATTCACAATTGTTTCTTTCCCCTCCAGATTGCTAGGCATGCCATTGGGGTTATTAAAAATATGACCCTGGATGGCTTTGTTCCAAATTGAAATGCATGCCTCTAAAATGAAAGGGAAGTAGATTCCTTGTTAAACTGAGGAAGGTAAGAGACGTTTGATGTAATTAAGCATCATTCTTGCGCTTGCCTTAGGTAATTAAGTCAGAACAGCCCAATGACTTATTTGTTCTGAAATCGCTGATGCATCGACATTGTAACATGTCTCTGCCTGCCTGGACTTTCAGTCCCACTGCAGTGTCTCTTAGTTTAGACGGGTTTATACCAGTATCTTCCTCTTACCTCATGGTTCTCGGTGCCTTATTTAAATGGAGGAATTAAGAGGGAACGGCTGTTTGGGTAACACTGAGAACACAAGTCTACTGACAGATGTGTGGTTTCACAGTCTTTCACAAACAGCATCAGAGCAGTGAAGGAAAAACAAAAAAGTCTGGTCTGTTAGCCAGCCACTGCAGTGGTCTGTCCAAACTGAGTCACAAGCAAGGCCCAGAACTGAAGATTCATGACCGATTACAATCGTCCCAAACTATCACCAGTCCTTCTACACAGTGACAATACCTCCAGCATTACCCCATTCCAGTGGAAAACAAAAAGGACCAGACAAAAAACAATGTGCAGCTAAAATCACAAGGTGTGAATCACAAGGTTAAAAAAAACTGAAAACAAAATGACAATGTTCTAAGAGTAATACAGATGCATGGTAATATACAAGCAGCAGAATGAGGACTAGGACAGAGAGAATTGAAAGCCTATTTGTGCTCTGATGAGAGGAAAATGAAAATAATGGGAGGAATTAAAACAAACAAAAAAAACAAAACAATTCAATTGGGGGATAAAATAACATTTACCACTAAGTTTACCATCAGCACAACATGGGCAGGATCAAATCGCTGTAAAAAAGAAACACCAATTGGTTAAGCAGGAAGATTGAGGCACACAGAGAAGGGCAGGTGGGGTTGGGTGTGTGGTAATGGGGCTTCAGGGCGTTTATTACCAGAGGGCCTTCCGTGTGTCACCGCCCACCCCCACCCACCTCGTCCCTTTACTCAGGGCTAGGTGCTTACAGGAATCTCCTCTCACCACTAATTCAAACCGCTTGTCCAAGTCCCCAGGCCCCTAAAGTGATGTTGTTGTGCATTTTGACGGAGAATGTAACCGAAGAAACCAGACTACCGTCCCCTAAACCTAAGCTTTTCCACTACTGAATGCTGTGACCAGTAACTTTCATTTATTCGTTTTACAGATCAACAAGTTGCCTTTAAAATAAAATTGTATTTTTTATTACATGGAGAGGTGTAATGCATACCAAAAACCAGGCAGCATAAAACACAGAAAAACACTAAAATCTACCTAGAATTGGTAGATTCTGGTTCAGCTTATAGGAAGTCCTATGTTACTGGTCATCAACAACCTGTAGGGAAAAAGCAGCTACAGTACGTCAAACAACGTATCCTATGTATGCCTATTAAGACATATTTACCCTTTTATAAAGAGATTACCAGATGACTCTCCCCCAACTTAGAATAAGTATTGAGTACATTTAGGCACGGGCCAGAAGGACATGCTCACAAGACGATAAGCTGGGGAAAAATACAATTGTTCCACTGCAAAACTGTATTAACTTAAATATATAAAATAAATATGAGCCGTTTAAAAAAAAAAATTGGCAATGTGGTATTTGTTTGCTCATATGACAGTGACAGCGAAGCAGGGCAAGACTGTGGGGTGTTTAACTGAAGCAGAGAAGCAATGTCAGAGTGACCACACCAGTTGCCATAACAGCAATATTCATATTAGATATTGACTCAAATTTTTAATATCGCTGCATCTATAAGTGAAACAGAATACAACAAGCATATACTACCTTATGCATTCGGCTATCAGCTCAGGCAGCCAGTCTGCAGAAATCTTAACAGAGATACTGCTTCTAACTTGCTGTTGTGGAAAAAAAATTATTTCCAAGCACTGCCAGGTGAAATCACTCAGTCAGGTTTATTCTTATTAGAATTATTAAAACATAAGCGGAATAGTTTCACATCATAACTGACTTTAGTTGATTAAAAATATGTTCATACATCTTCATTTTTCTTTTTTGTAAGCAAAGGGAAAAAGTGCAAAAGCCAGCTGCTCAGCAGTGTGCAGCAGAATGTGGGAGATGGAAGGCAGCAGTGGTTAGTCTCAATCAAGCATGTGCCAGTTCTGACAACATGAACAATGTTTTCTATAAGGGCTCCTTTTGAACAATAAGCATCTCTGAAGGAAACGCTTGCCTGTTGTGAGCCAACTCTTTCAGATGTAGTAGGTTTACTACATACAACTAACTACAGAGTTAATATAAAAGTGCTACAGAAGTATTAAGTAAAAAATAAATACTGTTTATATTCATTTATGCAGGTTCTTAATCTTAAAGCTCTAAGGGTTCAAGTCGCTCCTCCCTGATTCGCCATGTGAGGTAGCCACAGATCCGCTATTTTAGCTTGAGGAAATGATTCACTGATAAAATACAGTTTGTGTGACAAGCTGGTAGTTTAATGTAAAAGCTTAAATTCCAAGCATCTCCTCGGCTCAGATGTATAAACCCTGTTCCTCCACCATCATTGTTATAAAAAGTATTGTATGGAGAGATTTTCAACAGATTTTATGCGTAGGTGCTGTTGTCAATGTCTCACCACACCTGTCATTTTGCACTGACTTCATTTCTGAAAGCTCAGCTATGCAGGACATTGCCGTCTCCACTTGTAATTTATAAATGACCAGATGCAGCTCGTCTTTGTGGTATTTTGGCCATTTATATCAGATTTTCTGAGGCGTTCTCTGGTAAGGACTTTAAACAACAAAAACTCTCTGAAGGAAAAGTAATTATAACTTGCTCTTAAGAACATTGACCTTAATAACAATAACTGACCCGTGCCTAAATCAACTGTCTTAAAATATGATGAATGCTTCCAGGGAAGACCACAATTTTCCCCCTCTAAGCTTTTTGCTTTGCCTACGCTCGTCAGCCCAGTAAGGACCTCTCCTCAAGGTCCTTCGTCCTGGCTAGTCTACAGCCAGCAAGCTCAGTCTGGGATGTGCTTAACCCCAAAACAAATAAAAACATAAAACATAGGAACGTACCTGAAAGAATAGCCAGCAAAGCTTTGAGCAGTGTTTAGAGTCATTTCTGCAATGCCATAGGTGTAATGGAGGATCTAAAACAACAACTATGGATCAGTTTTTTTTGTTTTTTGTTTTTTTTAGCTTCACATTGTTTTTATTTAATGAATATTGTGATTCTGCATCCTACCTCCAACACTGCTTAAAGCCTCTGGTAAATAAGAGATTGAGGCAAGCAGGAGTGCACCTCTGGACAAACATGCTGTGCAGGAGGGGCAAAGAAACGGGGGGAGGATGGAAGTCTGTACCATGGGGACAGAGACACTCGGAGTGTAAAAAGGTGGAGAGGTTTTCCCTGTAAGTCGACTCTATTGCCCGGTAAGTAGCAGACACACATACATCTCAGTCCCACATAATGATCACGCACATACAAACACGACTTTCACTGTTTTAGAGGTAGAAACAGGTAAACAAGCAGAGGAGGGAAACTTTTCTACACGGCAAGCCATTCAGAGTCTGAGCCGTGGTTACAGCCAATCAGATTACTTTAACAGCAGCCACGGAAACTCAAAGAGGGGGGAAAACAAAAATCTAAAAATATGTGGAGATGATGATTCTAGGGGATGTGAATCATGAATCATGGGTTCCTAAATCCAACTTGATTTCACATGGATCTTGATTGTTGGTACAAATCGAAGCATTTTCTCTTAAGCAGATTGAAATAAAGGTTTAGTGATTATGAAGCAAAGAGGAAGAAGCTGACCGAGGCCATTAGCCTATGATACACTGTAAAAGGAGTGTTACACTTAGGTCAACTGCAGAGTGGGAGAAAGAAAACACACCCACACATGCATACTGACATAGAGAAGGGATCCAACAAACCTTACCTAAAAGGGGCAAAAAAGGGACAAAAGAAGAACAAGAACAAAGTCAATACAGTGAAAAAAATGTAAAGAGGGGACAATGCTTTAACTTCAAATGTCAACAACTGTCTCTTCTGGCAAGGAGGACAGGAAAGAGGTGGAAGATTACCATGATTATCCAGCATACTTCAATGAGATGCGATGCTGTGATTAGTATGGGAGCTTACTCACAAGTTGGAGAGGACAGCGGTCTCTAAGCGGGGCCACTAATTCCTACACAACAACTGGACACAATTTGCTGCAGTCTCATCTGCCCACAATGTAGGATGCTTACATAACCACGTGAGTTCTGCCAGAGGCACAAACAAGAGCACAGTCATCCCCTGCGATGTGTTCCCTCCTCCACACAAAGCTCATCTTATCACTTCAAATATATTGTTACTCGGCTCTTCAAGGCCAGATGGAAATAAACATGGATGGAATTTTTTTCCCCTCTCTCTGCTGTGCTGTTGGCCTCAATGCACTTGTCAGCTTGCCCAGAACGAAACAGCTTCCAGGTCTAATCCGTTCACTTGCCCCAGTCATGCTGAAAATACCTTTGAGACGACACAAGAAACTAAGGCTATATATGTACATCAACAAAAAGTAGTTGGGCAGCAACAAGACAACAACCCCACTCAACCAGACAATAGGCTTCCCTGTGGTGTCTTGAGAAGATCTCAGTTACAATGTCAGTCTTCATTCGATTTAAACACACTCCTGCTTGTAAAAAATAAAAATCACTTTTTTTTGGACTAATACCAACTTTTTCTGAGCAAACATTTAGGTAAATGTTTACCTGACAATAACAGGCTGTAGAACCAGCAAATAATGTCTCACAATATCAAACAATTAGTTCATTTAAACCAGTAAACTTCTCTGTGGAGGATATTCTTCTGAACTGTTTTAATGTGGCAATATTTTGAGCTCATGTGGGATTTTTTTCTGACAGTGTGAGCTGGGTTTCTAATCAAACATTTAGACCAGATGTTGCTGGTGGACATTTTAGGGAGAACAAAAGTTGAAATTTTGCAACAAATTATGATGGATGGCTGAGAAAAGACCAATGATTTGGAATAAAACCAGATGTAGTGGAGAGGGTAGATAAGATAAAAAAAACAACAACAAAAAAAATAGAGGCCCAATTAGGCATTAAGATGGATGATTGGCATTTGGGTACGGTGCCAAGCTGAATCCTTTTGAGGTAAATTTCTAAGATCAGTGATTATTTCTTTAAAAAAAAAAAAAAAAAAAAACTGTTGCACTCTGGAAAAAAATGGAAGATACTGAGAAATGGAAGTTAAACAACAAAACAAGGAGGGGCTTTGTGAAACATGCCAAGGTTTTGGATCACTGCTACTTATCCTCTGAACCTATGAACACAGCAGGTCTGAGCTAATAATGTAGTATCAAATAGCCAAAACCAACCCACACATTCAAACATCCTAATCTTCAGCCCTTACTCTCGGAATGAGCATCAACTGGCTGCTAAGAATTACCCGGGGAAAGTTACCTTTTTTTTTAACAATTTTATGAAAACTTTGAATTTCAGAATTTACTTGGCATACAAATCTCAAAATTTACCCTATGTGTCAGGTGTTGGAGAAACACTGCCAATGCAATATGTATGACTGAAATGCTGTTTCCATCTTTCATCAGCGTATGATTAGACTGCATAAAAGAGAATAAACGTGACAAGCTGCTTTGCATATCGAGTTAAAATGGTTAACTGCATGCATATAATTAAGCGAGAATAGTTTTACTTAGATTAAAACCAACCACCAAAGGTACAAAAACAGGCTATGAGAAACCTACAAAATGTCCAATACTACAGAGGTATAGGTTAGAAACAAGGAAGTTCTTACTTTTTTGGTCTATTTCTTGGAATAAAGGGATTCTGATGGTTTCACCTGCATGCAGGAGATTTACTTTTGATTGCATAAAAATATAAGGTATTACAGAAGTTGAAGTTGTTTGATAGTGAAGGTGGACGTGCAGCTCAGTGCAGATGAAACAACTACAAAAGGTCCTAATGTGCTGTGTCACATTAATACTAACAACATAAATTATTATTGGTTTTAGTTTTGCGCATGTTAACATACAGTTACCACTACAACCAGCTGGATTGCACACATTTGAGTGGCAGTGTGATACAGCCTCACTTTTAAGCATTTTAAATCTAATCTTCACTTAAATCGCATTTATGGTTTATGTTGGACAAAATTACTTCATTCTTCAAATACCTTTGTATGTGCTCTATATTAAGCAATCCAAAATGACACTACAGCTAAAGTTTACATGGCAACAACATTAAATGTCTGTTAAAAATGCCAACTCTAACATCTAAGATGACGTCTCATTTGTGGTTTCAGCAAAATATGTGAAAAAGATTTTTCTAAAAAGAAGAAAATCAAAAAATGTGAGAGAACTTTGAACTTTTAGTCTTGTTAAACTGGATGTCAACGTACCAGTTTACAATAAAATAAAATAAAAATCACCAAGGATTACTCTCTAACACTTAATCCACTAATAGACTCCATGAATCTTTTCTTCCATCTCCAAATTTAAGGGAACGGAAACTTGAGAGCGACAAAAACAACTGGAATCATGTTTGCTTTGGCCACGATTTTTCCAATCCGGAATCGGGCAAAAGGAAGAGGTCAAAGAAAGGGTGTGAAGAGAAAAATAAATCAGGGAGGGTGTCGTTTAAAACAACAACAAAAAAAAAAAAAATGAAAATGTGAGTAGAAAGAAAACAAAAGTAGATAGTGGCTCAGTGCCACCAGCAAATTGAGAACATGAGTGTGCTTTAGAGTGAATCCTTACCCTGCATGGCCTTGCCAAGTCCTTGCCCCAACTTCCATCCATGCTTCTGAAGCAGCCGGTGCCCGATGTTATCCTGGCAGAGAGAAGAGAGGAGAAAAAAACCAAAAATATTCCAATAATAAGAGGAGCTATACCCTGTGGGCATGGATGAAAACATCAAGACAAACAAAACACTCAAATCACACTATCATCATAAGCACAACCACCACCACCATCACCATTATCATTATTGTCATCACCTACAGCGTGTAACAATCAGTGTCCTCCAGCACAAGGAGTGTTAGGGCAGTTGGGGAGAGGGATAAAAAGGCTGGGAGACTTGAGTTGAATGGCAAGATTGCCTCTATGTTAAGTAAATGCATGAGTCTCTGTGTGGTCTGCAACCTACAGGGTTTACTCCTACATCATGAGTGTACTTTCAAAGAAAAAAGATAAAACAAAGGAAGTTTTTCAGGCAAAAAGAAAAACAACTATCATTTATTATCAAGATAAACACATCAAATAACATCCACTATGTAAGAAGTTAGAAGGAGGAGGAGGAAGGAGAGGGCAATATATGTATCGCACGCATACATATATGACACACTACAGCGCAGGATCTTCGTACACAAAGAAAAGCGACACGGAACAGGTATGGAAATCTAGCAATAACAAAATGAAGACCAGAAACTCCAAGCTTGCTGTGATTCCGTAACCATGACAAGGGGAGCACCATGAGACATTCAGCTGTCACAAAAATAGAGCAAAAGAAAAAGACAGAAGTGGAGCTTTTGGGCCTTGGATTACCATTACAAGGCCCAGAGTGGACTGATTATGCATGTGTGAAGGGCTCTGTGGGCGTTCAGATGAAAAGGACAACAGTGTACTTCGAACCCCGTTAGATATACCAAAATGACTGTTGAGCACGGTTTTGGATGCCTCCTGCATTTAGATCATGAATTGTCAGATTCCAGCCATTTTCAGACCAACAATGAGCAACAATTTGGAGATCTGCTGTAACCCATACACAGTTTCACATTTCTGCTCAAGATTCCAATAATATGCATCAGCAATCTCGGTTGGATCCGACAACTGATAATGAGCAAAAGGAGATTGAGAGGCATTCAAAAACATGCACAAGAGCATTTTCTAGTACACTGTGGGGCCACTGAGCAAGTCATGTTATTTCACTAGTATTGGTCAGCGAGGTAACAAAAACATTAAAGTGAAATGCAAGACCATCCCACCACTACACACTACAGTACATCCTCAAGCACATATAAACAAGAAACAATGACATTTCTTTATAAGCAGTGTTTTCTGTTGTGATTATAACTATTCCAAGCTTGTCTAACATTCACCAGAGTGCTGCATTCTATCCAAAAAAAAGAAAAAGAAAAAAAAAACATACAAACCAAACAGAAAGGATATTTATAATCACAAAGAGACTGACGTCGACTTTCACAAACAGAAAGTGAGGGAAAGGAATAAAACTAAAAAAAATAAAAATAAAAAAAAGCATGCAGCTTTTTGTTAAATTGTTTTTAACAAAAAGGGTCGTCGGTGTTAGTAAGCGCACTGTGAGTCTTACACATACAGTGGGGCGGTTGGGGAGGGGGAGTAGAGGACAGGTGAACAAAACTCCAGCTGAGTTAGTATCGGATGGATCAGGCACAGTGAGGGAGGATGGCTCAACAATGCTTGATTAGGTCTCTTTGACAAGAGGTCAGGAAAATTGGCAGAACAGAGCAGGCTGAGCCATGATGATGAAGGTGGGTATTCGGGTGATGGAAGTGAGCTGGGTTTGTAAGAGGTTAGAGCATGTGAAGGGAGTGGTGGCCTCAAACACACGGCACACATCGCATCTCTGTCCACAGCGGTGCATGTGGAGGAAATTCGACTTAATCCTTCGTTTTAAAATCACATATTGTCACCAGCTTTTGCTCTCCTTAATGTATTTCAAGGAGAAAGCTAAGGTTTGCTGTATTATTAGATTATAAAATGCCATACCATGATGACTAGAATAAACAAATCCATGTGACCGATTTGTGCCTCCGGCTATCTAAAGAAATGAGAGTGTCACTTCCTGTTGTCCTGTTATTTTGTCCTCCAATTCATGCTTTTCCAAACCCTGTGTACTCTGACTTAGATCTTTTCCTCCACAGGAAGAGATAAGAATAAAAATTAGTGCTGGACACCACACGGCAGAGAGGAAACAACACATCTAACTTGGCACGACTTGTTAAAGTTTAGCAGTTTTCTATTCTTTCCCGGTTCTGAAAAGCCAAGTGAAGTTTCTGGGAAATATAATTCCCGTCATTCGCTCTGTGTCTCCTAATTATTTGCTAGAGCGTCGACGTGCAGCAACATTACGGATGCCAATATTTAATCGTTTGCAGAGTTGCATATGCTGCTTGAGAGGAAAAGAAAATTAAAATCCACTCAGAACTATGAACTGGGAAATGCCAGACAAATAACAGTCCAGTTAAATAATCTGAAATCTTGTGAATATCAAATCTTAAGCCTCATTTCAAATCATTTCTGGAGAATTTAGAAACAAATCAGGTAGAGCAGGCTGGAGGCAGCAAAAGTGTGCACCTATTGACTGTAAACAGCTTAGGTCAAACTGAACTCTATGGAGGTTGGTGGCCAGAGATGACGTGTACGCTGGGTGTTGGGACAGCAGATGAGTGCACCAAAAGAATAGACAGACGGATGAAAGCAACGACGGCGAGTCCAACAGCAGTGCAAGTGGAGTGAAGGCATTTCCATACGAACCTGGCTTTAAAATACTGGGCTGTCAAAAAAACAGTCACACGTGACACAACGTAAGAAACCGACCGAACGCTTTCAACTGCAATTCTGCTAGCTTCTCTAGGTCTTAAAAATACAAATCTCTCTCTGCCTTGAAACAAACATTATACTTATACAAACAGAAAAGGCAGACATTTCAATAAATCCACCAACTGACTGTTAAAAACAGGAGAAAAGGAAAAAATAAACAAAAGGTTAAAACAAACAAAAAAAATCTACAAGGGGTGGTTTTTTTATATAAAAGTATGCAATGTGCTGTCATTGGCACAGTGCATGGCAAAAGATATGAATAAGGGAAGTGATATGCAGGGGACCCCACCTAGAGACCTCAGAGAATGTAGTTATTTAGTGGTTGCTGTTTTTTTTTTACTGGGAAAATATGTGCAATCATCCACCTTCAGGATCGAGAATCTTGGTTACATGTATTCATGCCTAAATCTATATAAATGTTTTACTTTAGAAACAGATCACACATTTGTCAGAAGAGCAGCTGCTTTTGGACAAGCTCTGCTCCTCTTAACTCCTTGCAGTCTCTTTAGTTCAGACATCTGAACATACTGGTCCGTGTCAGATGCGACAGGTGAGACGAAGCAAAAAAAAAAAAAAAAAAAACTTTTTTGGGGAAAAAAAGTAAGGGAAAAAAAAAAAAGGCCTGAGGTCC